CTATAATAAGTAATTTTTATATAGAAGAAAAATATAAAATGAAAACATAAATTGAAAGTAAATTTAACAAAAATACATGTTGATTGTAAGAACAAATAGTACCTGACAATGATAAAGTCGTGATAATACAATGTGAAGTGTTTGTTTCGTTAGCCATCATCAAATTTTATAAAACTGGATAATCCTTTTTCAGTGTTGCATAAAAATTATCATAAATTTTTTAGATTACATTTTTAGTAGCAAACACTGCACAACTCTCATCATTGCTTATTAGAATTTTTTACTCACTTCTTGAGGTGGCTCTGGACATAGCAAGATACATATTGCTCTGCGTAAAAACAGATTTTGTAAGATCATGTTTACTTTATGCGAAGATGGTCTGCGATTGGGAATGCCCTACAATGAAACTTGATAGATAGAACTTCTATTATGTGACTGACTGACAGGACCAAAGATAATCATGGGATTAAAACTTTTTGTCCAATATTTTTTTCTGAATATAACCTTCCCCTCTAAAATATTTTACCCATGAGAAAAAATAAGGCATGTCCTAGATATTACATACTCTAGAAGATTAGTCAATGTTTCTCATAAGCATAATAGGAATTCTAATCAATTTAATTACATTGAATAATGAGGCGAGAGTTTAAGAGACACTTAGAATAAGGTGCTATATCTAATTAATTTAATTGGAAAATACAGTTTTTCAAGTATTAAATAACTACTTCCATTGGTAACTTTTTACTATTTAGTATTTACTTCGATGTTTGGTAGACAAAAGCTTTCCATGCCTTTTTATTCTAGATTGATAGATTACAATAATTTTCTTGTAATACATGACAATTCATTGCAGATAAAAATTAATTTCCAAAAGCGAAAAGAAATCAAATCAAGGTAATTGCACAAATTGGTTTAGCAAGGCGGTATATTTTAATATCAAATTTTACTTGAAAGTATTAAACAAAAGTATATAATACAGTGAGTGGTAAAAAACAGGATGAACTATAGTTTTCACGTTTTAAAAGGGGCTGAAATATACATTCACTTGAATGTAATACTTTTATAAATTAAATTAGTTTATGTAAATATCAATTTCAATTTACTTGTTAGCATTAAGTTAAACTAAGATAAAATAAAGCTAATAGAAATGAAGTCAAACTTTGAGTATCTCCAATGCTACAATGTGCACGGTGAACATGTGGTATGAGAGAAATAGATACAAAAGATCAAATTTATGACATTTATCTCTCCTTCTTTTCGCGGTCTTATTTTTTTGTGAGTTTTTCTTAATAATGTCAACCACAATGTCAACATCGAATCTAGACATTGTTCTTGACATTGTGGAAAAAAACTCATCGATCAAAACATATAAGATCATTCAAATAAGGAGAGAGATATTACATTTTTTGTTTTTTAATTGATAGTTTCTCATTCTACATATACACCGTTCACGTTTTTGTATTAGTGTTGTTCTTACAATCACTTCAAACTACTTCGTATTTAACTTAGAATTAAAATTTAAAAAATACTACCATGTCTCGAAAAGGTTTACTGTATGATGACAAATTTTGGACAATGATTTTAATTATTATATTTGTAAATAATTTATAAAAATTATACTTTTATGTAAATATTTTGAATAAGGAACATTATGATACTTCTTCTGTATTTAAAAGTTTCTTATACTTTCCTTTTTGGGCTGTATTTAAAAGTTCCCTACAGTTTCATTTTAGGTAAGTTAACCCTTTTCTAAAATACTCAATTACCCTTACTTTATCTACTTTTTATCTTCTCTTTCATATACTTTTACACTCTCTCTCTCTCCTACTTTATATATACTATTCACTACCCCTACTACTTTACTCCTTAAATAATGTGTCCAACCTAATGTAGTGAACATTAAAATACGGAGGGAGTATATATTTCATGTTCAAAATAATTTTGTATTAAAGAATATCATTAGTCAAAGTTGATTATCATTGACCAATAAAAATCAATTTGGAGAACTTTTTTTGGATGAAGGGAATACGCATTTGATGGATAGGAATATACTCCATCAGCATTTTAGGGGAAGTTTTGCAGGAAGCTCTACTGAACCGGTAGCCATAAGGGAAGTGACACATGCCATGGGCTAAGCCAAAATGGTTGGCAAATAGTTCATTGAATCAGATGCTCATTAGGCTGTGAATGGTGTAAATTGCCCAGGTGGATGCTTCTATGATTCAACTTTGTCAGATGATATAAGACACATGATGACATCTGTGCTAATATTTCTATCCAATATGTGCAACGATCAACGAATAAGGTTGCTCATTTATTTGCTAGGCAAGCTATTTCTAGGTCTGATTGTTCTTGATTTGAGATTCCTCCATTTTGTATTCGACGCATCCTGTTGAGGGATAATTATTAATGTAACTTATGTTTGTTTTTGCAAAAAAAACACACAAATTTATTAAATTGAATAATCATACATTTAATAAAAATGATGGCATTCAAATTTATTAAAGAGAAATTGTCCTTAATACGTCTAAAACTAAACATAAATGCACAAATAGGATTCCATATTTTTTATTCAGTAAGTAAGACTAAACTTTACCTTTTTGCCCCTAATATAATTAATTAATACAATTAATCCCCCAGTTCATTTGCATACCCAAGGTCAGTCCCTTGGTGGAAAAGCAGGGTAGCAGACATGTGCTGGCGGCAGCCCAACAGTGGCAATCTGGTGGTAGCCGATTTATGGCGATAGGCGGCAGTGGCAGAATTCCGACAATCGGTGGCGGTAGAAGTCTGATGGCAGTCCAAATCCTCGTATGAGTATTTTTGTCTACAAATATACATAACTATTCTTATTTAGAGAATCTGACTTATTTTTTGCGATCATGTTTCATTTAAGTGGACCAAAAAAAAGATTTTTTCTAATATGATTAATTTTTGTCATAGCTTTTAGCATTGATTTGAACGCATGTTGATTATTTATAGATAGTATTTACGAATATATTGATTAAGCTGTTGATTTGGTTTCAAACAAAAATTTTGCAATTTATGATCAAATTAGAAGTAATTTATTCCCACCATTAATTACAGAATTGTCTTGGACAAATCTTTCCATTTATTACCTTTGTAATACGATCCGTAATATAATGTTGTGCCAATAGCTAGTCACTTTTAGTGATAATATTAAATATTAATACCGACATGTCGGCAGAACTTACGAAGTTTTACTAAAATACGGAATATATTAATTGCCATTCGTATTAATGCAATATTAATTTACACTTATACCTTTCAAAATCTGTAATATAATGTTGTGCCAATAGCTAGTCACTTTTAGTGATAATATTAATACCGACATGTATGCAGAACTTACGAAGTTTTACTAAAATACGGAACATATTAATTGCCATCCGGATTAATGCTTACACTTATACCCTTCAAATGAGCCAGGAATTTTGGCTCCAAAAAATGTAGCAACTTTGCTACTATATTACATAGGGTAAAGGGCCAAAATGGACACTGAGGTTTTTAATGAAGTGCGTTTTGGACATTAAGGTTTTTATTGGATCAAATAAACACCAAATTAAACTTTTTAGACCTCATCGCCCACCCCCTAACAGTTCCCGTTAACCAGCTTCTCTTCCCCGTTATCACCCAGGTCCCTGCGATTAGAAGCTCCCAAATTGAAAACAACCCTAATTGATATATACCTAATAAATACAATCTCTAACAGATGACGAAGAAGAAAGCATTGATGTCGGATACTCCTTCAGCATCGAGGTCGTCTGAGGCACGGAAATCTGAGTTCGGTGATTCAGTGAAGCTTCGAAGCATCTATGAGCGACCGTATACTGGGCGTTCAAGGTTTTGCAGATGCATGAGTACAAATGGAACTCGCGTCAAGGCGCCACTTTGGACTTCATGGACTGACAAGAATCCAGGTAGAAGATTTCATGGATGTCCTTATTATGAGGTATGCTTGTAATTTTTATTTTCACATATGAGAACTGGAGAAGACCATGAATATGTATAATTTATTTATATTCATTTTGATATTCATACCCTTGTATCTACTCAGAAGGATGGATGTGGCTTCTTTGAATGACATGATGAGCCATTAACGGACAGAACAAGACATGTTATCAATGAGCTCAAACGGGAGAATAGGAGACTCCAAGCTGCATTGTTTGAACTGGAATGTGATAGTGTTGCTGAAAAGTTGGAGAGTGAAGTTGAAGAAGTCAGCCGTAGGAATGATGCAGCCTATCTGGATATGGAAAGAAAAACCAAAATGAAGAAGAATTATGTTATTGTACTGTTGTTGTGTGTCTTTATGGTAGTATTATGTGTGTTTTTATTTTAGTTTTAGTTTTTTGTAAACTGGTGTGGTTATAACCTTGTAAACAGTTTACAATTTATGCACTACTGAATTTGAATTGTTGTTAAGACTTTGGTTTGGTTGTTAATAAGAAAATATGTTGGTCTGGTTGTACACTTCAGTTTTTAGACTTCAGTTTGAGAGCATGAATGCAAAACCTAAAAACAAGTTTGAGAGCAGGTGGTCAAAAGCATAGCTGGGCAGAACCCATGCTAATGAGATCCCAAATATGCTCCCTAATTCATAATATTAGCTGTCCTTGTTTGCAATATGAAATCCTGACCAGCATTTTCCCACTAGATGAGAGTATGAGACTGCCTATATGGATCAAGCACCACCATTCATGAATAACACGTTGGCTAATATCATAACCAAACTGAAATACATGAATAACAGAGTAATATACATGACCAAGTTGGCTAATATCATAAACACACATATAAACATACATGGATAAACAACACATATAAACACACATGAACTGATAAACAACACTATCATTTCACATCCACATGAACTGAGTGAAGTTGGAAAGAAAAACCAGTTAACAATAGGGAGTACAGAAAGCAACACAGATATAAGAACTTATATCATAACCAAACATCATTAGGGGTCATAATACTGATTGTTAATGAGGTTACAAAATTCAAAAAAATCATTATAAGCCCTAATGTAGCACCCCAAATTCGCACAATGGTTGCTTATAGTTCCAGAAGTAGTAAAACTTCATAGAAAACATCTAATGCTTCTAGTCAGTCTTCATTCCCCCAAATTTGAGTGTTGCTTCAACATGTTCACTTTGGAATGGAACCTGGCCTCCTAATCTGCATCTTCTGTAACAATTGCCTAGAGCTGATTGCTGCATTCCCATTCCATTGCAAACCAGGTGGTTGAAAAGGTAGGTTTGCTGGATTATGCACCTCTGTACCATCACCCTTGAAAGGTATTGTTCTATATGATGACACATCCAACTGCTTCTCAGCCCGGGCAGCCCCTCTGATATCTTTTTCATTTGGGATTGCAAATCTGACTGTAACATCAGGGTCATGTGGCATTTGAGGCTGGAAATCTGAAACTATTTCCTCACTGCTCATCCCAGGCTACAAGCATAAACAAGTAGATGAAGGTAAAATTAGAAATAAAAAAACTTATTTCAATACATCAACAAACTAAACCACTTACATAAAACTGGAAACCTATTCATACTCACATTTAAAGTCTTCTCACCAGTGTTGATATCCACATAGCACCCAAAGCCTGTTACAGATTGTTTACTTATATTCCTTGCTATTCTTCTACATGTGACTTTAGACTTACCAGTACTCCTTTTAGCATTAGTGTGTGGATTTGTTGGTGGAGCTGATTCTGTAGTGGTAGGAATTGATGAGAAAGCAACACTAGAAGGTCTCTTCACAGGTATAGGTGCATTCCCTTCTGCTCCTTCAACACTTGCCTAAGAAAAAGATTAAAAACTCATGAAAAAACAATAAATCAATATTGCAGTTTAAAACTTCAAAGTATTGTACAACTTACATCTCTATCTTTAGTAAGACATGTAGCTCTCTTATGGCCCTCCTTATGGCATATCCCACAAGTTTGTAGTCTCCCTTTTCTTGATGATGTTTGAGGTGTAGCATTGGCAGATTTAGAAGCACTTCCAGATCCTTTGACCTCAGTAGATGATCTAACCCTGTTCTTCTTTGGTCTGCCAGGTAGGTTTGGGACTGGGGGAGGTAAAATGGGTTCATAATCATCAACCTTCATGAAAGCTTTTCCAGGTACCGGTTGCAAAGCGTTTGAATATGCTGCCATATAAGTCTCCTTATGATACCATCTCGAAATGTAGGTGATAGGATCAACCTTCCTATAATAGAAAGCACATATGGCATGTAAGCATGGTATTCCAGTAAGTTCCCATGCTCTACAAGTGCACACCATCTTATCCAACACAACTGTGTGCTTATCTGTCCCCTCTCCAATCTCAAACCCCACATCCCCATTAAATATAACATTGCAGCCACTAGCAGCCTCCTTATTGTCTTGATAGTACTCCATGCATAAGGGAGACCAATCGTTTATCCACTTATCATGATTTGTCTTAAAATCTGAAATTCTTTTCATTGCCTTCAATCGTATATCTTCCAACATGCTTACAATAGGTTTTGACCTAGCTTCCCGGATCCATGAATTGAAGGACTCTGTCATGTTATTATCAACCATCCAACATGAACTTCTACTACTAAAGTATGCTCTACACCAAGTTTGAACTGGATACTTCAAAAGGTCAGAAGCAGCTTCAGTGCTCAATTTTCCAAGCTTGTTAAGATTCAGCTGCAGGACTCATATGTGCTCTATGTGCTCTAGGAACATATCCAAAACTTTTTGCAGAACTCATTTCCTCTCCACTTCTTTGACCAATTAGCATACACATGTCGGGCACAGAACCTATGCTCTGCATCTGGTATGACCTCTTGAGCAGCAATAATCATCCCCTTTTGCATATCTGAAATAAGTGTTAATTCCCCAATTAGACTTATTTTCTTTATCAATGACAGCCCATGCTATAGGGACCATCTGCCCATTTCCATCCAACCCCACTGCACTCAGCAGATTACCCTTACAAACACCCTTTAGAAAGCAACCATCTACACCAATGATTCTTCTACAGCCAGCCAGCCAGTTCTGCCTCAAAGCAGCAAAGCATACAAACATTCTCTTGAATACTCTTCTCCCTTCTTTCAATGCTTCACTACAAAGTTCAATTTCAGCTTTTGAACCTGGATTACTCCTCTTTAATGTAGCAGCATATGCTTCTAGGTACCCAAACTCAGCATTATAACTACCATCCATCTCTTGGATAATCAACCTTTTTGCCCTTTTACATTTATACAATCTTACATTTATCTTCAACTTCTTCTCAGCCTCCTCTTTCATGTCAGTAACTCGAAAGCTAGGATTTCTCTGCAGGTGCCCTTTAAAGTAATTTGTGAGCCACTTTTGAGTAGCACTAGGAAGAGTATAGTGTCGGAAACACTTGTGCTCAGTGTTACAAATCTTCACTGCCAAGCCACAGTTCTTCCCATCTTGTGAAATCATAATCTAAATGGGCAGCCTTCCTCATTCAAACATTTCACTGCCAGTCTATTCTTCTCATTTGGTTTGATTTTCAGCTTGTAACCATACTTAACCCCATAATTAGCAATTGCAGTCCTAGCCTCTTCAGCATCTGCAAAGGTCATTCCATTCATAAAACAATCTGACCCATCTGTTGCAGAGTAAGTGATTGTACCATCATTATCAGAGGATGGATCAGAATTGTTGCTCTCTTCATCTTCTGAGCCTCTATTTGATTCTTCATCTGTAACATAGCCATTTGGGACACCACTTGTATTCACTTCAGCACTTTAATTTGGTCTCTCCAATCTGTATTGGCAGACTCATTACCCAGCCCACCATCATTCTCATCACCAATCTCATGGTTACCAACATCAGAAAATGAACCTTCTATAAGGGGAATCAAAATGGGTTCGTCCAGGTGATGGTCAGCATATAGTTCTATAGTATCAATCCAAGAAAATCTCCTTATACGATTTAACACTTTTCTTATAGTGTCATCATCCTGAACACAGAAAAGTCCATTGTCCAAATCCTTTCCAGGTTCTAAAACATATATATTTTTCAATGTTTTAAACCCCAAGTCATCCTTGTATTTTCTTGAAATGTCATGATAACACATAAAATCAGGGTCAAACCCATAAACTGTATCAGCGTCCCCATCCACATACTGTAACTTTGGCTTCATAACCCACCTCCCGCTATGGTTAAATCTGAGATTAACCAACCCTTTCATTGTAACGAACAAAAGCAACACTGAAAGATTACCTCAGATCAATCGAACGTATTGTAGCCTTGGTGGTGCAGTTGAACACCTTCTAATGTTTTCAACTCACTCGCACAATCTCACACTTATTAGCCATGGAAGCGACCCAGGGTTACAATTTCCAATTTGGGAGCTTCTAATCGCAGGGACCTGGGTGATAACGGGGAAGAGAAGCTGGTTAACGGGAACTGTTAGGGGGTGGGCGATGAGGTCTAAAAAGTTTAATTTGGTGTTTATTTGATCCAATAAAAACCTTAATGTCCAAAACGCACTTCATTAAAAACCTCAGTGTCCATTTTGGCCCTTTACCCATATTAAATAAGATAAGATTAGGTAATTGAATATGTTGCCGTGGATACCGAACGTTACTTTCATCACCAACCAAAGGTTCAACATTCCACCATCATCGTTTGTCTTGTCTTCATCGATGAAGCTGAAGAAATTTCATTTTCAACTTACATGTGCTACCAATTCTGGATCCGCAATCCCGGAACTGCTGCAATTATAAAACAGCGTCGGCAGTTTATCTCTGCTCTCTAGATTTGTTAATTTGTCGCGATGAAGCGTCCAATTTCGGGGGATAAAATTAACGAAGTAGACAATACAATCGGAAGTGGCGAGGATCTGAAACAGACGAAGAAGACCAAAATCGACAGCAGGAGAGGCGTCACGGGATGAAGTTCGGCAACAATCAAATGCCCTAGGTTCGGTAGACCAAATAATCGAGCAATACAATGGCCTGAACATTGGTGCAACGCCGGACGAACTGGTGATCGACGACGACGACGACGATGATGAGGTGACCGAGAAGGGGGTAAATTGTGTAGAGGAAGTCCCAATGGTCGGCATGTACTAAGACATGCCAAAAAACGGGGAGAGAGCGGGCTTTGGGATCCAGACCCGCCAGAGCTCCCGAGGAGTCACATGTTTTAATGTGGCTATTTTTAAACCTATTTCATGTTCCCTTTTGTTTCAGCTCCCTCGTTTTCAGTAATATTATCTGATACCAAATTTAGTAAAATTTGTTTGATTGTAAATGATTCTTATTTTATTGCGACTTTACCAATTCAATATCGACAACATAAACATACTTTTATTGGTATGTGTGTAATTCCCTCCTATATTATTGTTATTGTGACAAATGTAGTAATTTTTATTTTTTCTAATTTTATTTTTTTATTAATTTTATTAAATATTTATTTTAGTCCAAAAAGCTACAGTTGTATTTTTTCAAACACACATAATTAATCTTACCAAGAAATTTAAAACAATGTAGTCGATTTCTAAAGGCTTTTACTAATTTACTTGTAATTAGGTAATTGAATGAATATGTTGCCGTGGATACCGAACGTTACTTTCATCAACAACCAAAGGTTCAACATTCCACCATCATCGTTTGTCTTGTCTTCATCGATGAAGCTGAAGAAATTTCATTTTCAACTTACATGTGCTACCAATTCTGGATCCGCAATCCCGGAACTGCTGCAATTATAAAACGGCGTCGGTAGTTTATCTCTGCTCTCTAGATTTGTTAATTTGTCGCGATGAAGCGTCCAATTTCGGGGGATAAAATTAACGAAGTAGACAATACAATCGGAAGCGGCGAGGATCTGAAACAGACGAAGAAGACCAAAATCGACGGCGGCGGGGTGTCGGAGGAGGCGCAAGATGTGATGATGGACGAGAACTTGTTGTATGAGGTGCTGAACCGCGCCGACGCGCGGACGTTGGCGACGGCGGCGTGCGTTAGTAAGCTGTGGAATCGGGCGGCGCAGGACGAGCGGATCTGGGAGCTGATGTGCATCAAGGACGGATCTCACAGCCAGCAGCAACAGCAGAAGCTCCGGGAGGTGGTTGTCCCTCTCGGCGGCTTCCGGCGGCTGTACTCGCTCCACCTCGGGCCGCTCGTCAAGCTGTCATCAACTCCTTTAACTTCTTCGACCTCCACCTGGCCCTGCCTACGCGTGCCGCCGCATCCGGTTCCGGCGAAATCTGCCCCCAAGGGAAGGCGATTAGGTAAGGATGAAATGAATCTATCGCTATCTCTCCTCTCCATCCGGTACTTCGCGAACATGAAATAGGTTCGTTTACTGGATAGTTTTTCCCTGTAATCTATTACGGAGTATCTCATTATACACACCGCACGATTTGGATTGCTTGGTAATGTAAGAACTCAATGTGACTCTATGACCATTCGATTTACTCCGTACTTCCATCTAAAAATAGTAGTGGAATCAAAAGGATATTGTGCATTTGTGCTTTGTATATACTCTCTATCTCTCTAAAATAGAACTATACCTGTATTTTTTGGACTGGATTTTATAGTCTGATTTTATCTAATTTAATTTATCTAGGTCAAATCTAGTACTTCGTATGTTAAGTCTGGTCCATTTTACTTTGATCTAGAATTGAAATTTTACTGAAATCTAAGATTGAAATAAGTGTAACTAAAATCATCACTGATGTCACATTTGGTTACCCAAACAGGTACCCGTGGTTTGTATTTCATGCAGGGTCTGTTTGCAACTGCTTTTAAAAAAGCACTTCTCAGCTTTTGGCTTTAAAAAATCACTTATTTTCCCAAACACTACAACTTTTATTTTTCTCGGCTTCCGCGTCAAAAGTGTTTTTACTTTTTCTATTACACAAAAAGCACTTATTTTACCAAACACTGCCCACTTTTACTTTTCAAAATCATTTTTTTCTCAAACACTATCAACTTTTATTTAATCACTTCTCCTCATTTCATTTAAAAAAGCACTTTTTTAAAAGCAGAAGCTGTTGCAAACAGACCCGCAATATATTGTCTAACAATTAAAATAAGTAATTTGGATTTAGATTGAGGGGAGGACCAAAAATGACATTATGGTTTTTAGTAAATCTCGGAATTCAGAAACGTCCGTTGAGATTGTTGAAGATAACAATTTAACCATATTTTCATACACTTGTTCAGTTGTTCTTTCTTTTTCTAATACACTTTAAAAACAAATTTTCCCCAAGACAAACATTCAACAAATTTAATCGTTTGAGACAGAAATGAACTAATTCAAGTAGATTATGATGATTTAATCAATTTTAGTGTTAGCAAACGAGTTCTTAATTATCAATCACTTTTACAACCCATTTGGTTACTTTATTTTTGACATATCACGCTTAATTATCAACCAATTTTTTTAGTAAATGTGTAACTTTTTACTATACTTTTGAACATAATTTGATAATTATAATCAAAAGAAATAAGATTATAAAGTTATTATTTTAATTACTTTTGTAGTTGAACTGAACAAGATTTTTCTAATTTGATTATAATTATTCTATGAACAATTATATTGTTCTAATTATATTTTATATACTCTGTATATTTTATGTATTTTATTAATGAAATTAATATGAAATATTTTTCTCCAATTATCATACTCTGTATTAGTTAATTCAACTGCTTCAGTCACAAATATTCTTCTTTCGCTGACATATTTTTCTTTATTAAGTCAATTCATCCAATATCAATCTTTTGCAAATTTCAAATGGACTTTTATTAATTATTATTTTATTATTGTTATTATTATCTTCACTACCACCACCCTGCCATGGCCACCGGATGTTAAGAGTTACATAGCCATGTGGAGGCTGAAGAAGTAATCCAAATAATTAAGTAACTCTGTTATCAAGAGCCACAAACGCCACATTCGGTTATGTAAGGTTGTTTTCTTTAGAACTGTTTTCACTTCCAGATCAAATCAGACCAGACTAGACTTCCATAGTTATAAAATACACAGAGACAAGACATTTATCAAACCAGACCAGTTCAGACCAGACCGGACTAACAAATTTCAGTCCACAAAAAAACATCTTATCTATAACTCTAACTTTAATTGAAGGGTTTTATGTACTAATCCATGTTGATAAATTCAGTCCCAATGAAGGATCTAATCTCAGTAAAACATGATAAAATTCATATAATCAAACAAGAGTGGTCTTCTTGTCAGGCCGGCCTGACGGGATGCTCCGTCCGGCCGAGCCCGTTTGGGCACCTACCCGGTGGAGTTTTTTGATGAATTTTTTTGAGCATGTTCCTCATCAAGTCTGGTTTATCCATACCAAATTTCAGCTCAAAATTCAATCGAGAAGGCATTCAAATCATTTTTTGAAGTTGACTGCGTCAAAATATACATATGAAACTGCAGTCAACTTCAAAAAATGATTTGAATGCCTTCTCGATCGAATTTTGAGCTGAAATTTGGTATGGACAAACTAGACTTGATGATGAACATACTCAATAAAATTCATCAAAAAAATCCACCTGGAAGGTGCCCAAACGGGCTCGACCGGACAGAGCATCCCGTCAGGCCGGCCTGACATGAAGATTTGTCATCAAACAATAAGAACACTAACCGGTTGAGGAGAAACCAAACGTTGATGGCGAAGATGATGAAGCCATGATGTCTTTAGATTCTCTAACGATACAAAATCTGATTTCTGATGGATTGAACGGTTCTCCCTTGGGTCTCTTATTATAGGTGTTCTTGAGACCCTTAGGAATGAACGTGTTCGTTCGTTTATTGTCATAAGAATTGAATGACAGACGCCTTTTATATTTTGTATCAAAGAGAAACTCATTTGGTCCCTTATGTATTATTTAATGTTAAAATATACCCATCATATGTTAACTATACATAAATACAGAGACCAAATTTGTCATACAACAAACTTTATGGTAAGACAAAAATGTCACCAATTTATATTACTCCCTCCGTCCCATTTATATTGTCCCGTTTTATCTTTTTGGGAAGTTCCACTTAAATTATCTCATACCATATTTGGCAAAGTTTGTGTGGCTCTAAATCATTCTTACTTTATTCTTACTTTATCAATTAATATCAACCACACAAACTCACTTTTCTTAATAACCGTATCACCCTCTTTCAGGACAATACAAATGGGACGGAGGTAGTAAATTATATAAAAGGTCCCAAGGGCATTTAAATGGAATATTTTTCTAACAATCCAAATACACCTTTCATTTTAAAAATTAACCTCCCACTACCATTCTTGATTTGGTGGTCTACTATTTGCGGATTTGCGGCTTGTATTTCTAGTTTCAACTGGTCCCTTTACTGTTTTAGAGGGAGCTCCAAATGATAAGACAAGCAGATGAGCAAAACCTTCTACACTCTAGAGTTTTAGTTTCTGAAGATTGAAGAGTACCTTCTCAACTTCGAGAGTTTGAACTCAATATATGTAGCTCGAAAATCAAAATTCATTAAGCACGGATGCACATATGATATTCCATGAGAAGAATTATAAGAAGTTTGAGAAGTAAAAAGATAACTTACAAAGTAGCAAAGCTCTCCCCATCGACCACTTGTTTAGCTAGTTTGTAGAATCTTGCCATATCTACTGAAACGTGTGGATGTAGAGTTCTTGACCGAGCTTGTATAAATTTCCCAGAAATTGTACTTTATTTAAATTGTAAAAAGAATCAAACACAGTAAATCGCCTTCGTTTTTCCATGTAGTAAAAGTTTGAGAGGCACCTATGCGTATGCCACGGGCTTAGATCATAGGGACATATAAATGGGGGCCTCTGAGGTTCATCATCTATTCATCTACTATGATAGGTTCGACTGGAGCTATTAAAGTACCAATCAACAAGGTGTGAGCTCAAGATCCTACTGTTAAAGCAGAGGGTAAGATCTTTTGCTTCTTTTGCAGGGGCACCTTATCTCCAGGCTTCTCTCCTAGAAACCTCATTGACCCCTTCTTTTTAGATTAAGGAATGGGAACACTGAATATAATTGAATATATTGACATAGTTTATGATCTGATATATACATATGAATTTAATTTATAGTTGAATTAAACAGTGGGCAATTTAATTCAAGAGCACTAGGAGACCAGGTGATGATATAGCTGATAGTTGAACATCTAGTATTAGAGCAAGTAACCCAGTAAATATCAGAGATTCAGAGTAGGCAATGGGAGGAGAAGTATCATGTGTAGGCGGTATCACTGAACCATGATCAGAAGTGACCTAGAGTCTAGAGATATTTACCTAAAATCCTTTTAAGATCTAGATAATGTCAAGTATGGGGATGCTTAAACTCATAAACCAAACCCACAACCATACTTCATGAATAACGAGTCAGATCAACATGATTTTCATAGCAAAGTAGCGATTAAGAGACTAAACGAAGGTGGTAATGAAAGATCTAGAATTGCTTGTAATTATTATTTCATCTACATAATGTCATAAAGTAAGAGATAGATAACATATACTCCGTATAATTACGGAAATTAAAAATAATGACAAAAGTATTAGCGATAAAAAAACAATAGGAAACAATTTAGCAAAAGGAGAATAATCATCCACTAAAGAAACACCAAGTTCAAAACTCATACTCCGTATTAGAAACAACAGGAGATTGTCAAACTTCAGAGTATGAATTAAAGCTAATGGTTAACGAGAAGAGCGAATCGTATAAGCATATGGAAGACAATTCAATTTTCCTGAATGGCATGATACACGAGAACAAAAAAAAATTAAGCTAACTATAATTTTATTTTTCATAAAAAAAATCCAAAACACGATCACCTCAATGACCCAGATGCCTATGCCATGTGTTGCCAGAAATTGGAGTGGCATCCATAGCAATTAGACCAGAGAGAATAGAGGAACAAAGCGGATAAAAATTTCCTTGTCTAGACGGTTGTAATAGACCTTCTCCGTGTGTTTATCCTTGACAGTTTTTATATATCTAAAATCAAATCAAAATTGTTATCGTCACACTACTTTTGAACAAAAATAAGATTATATTTGAGATCATTGAAGAACTTGAAAAACATATTTTAAATGAATACGTTGAGGCTAAGAACGCAAAAATGGAAGATTACCAACATTAGATATGGTAAGGTAGTACCATCAACAACCAGAACGCAAAATGGGCCATAATAAGCGGGTTTAGGAGATAAAATATCTGGTGTCATGCGAGCAAAAGCACCGGAGTCCAGGTGCCAAACAACATCATTAGCCTGACTAGGTGTCACGACAAAGGCAGTAGTAGATTTGAAAGCATACTGAAGCGAACATGACTAAACGGAATGACACGAAGAAATTAAAACAAATTTAGAAAATAATAGGTGAAGAGACTGAACCAACAACCCCTTCAATGATGGCGAACTTGCATGAGCAGGGTCAGTACTCAAAGATTGTAAGGAACATATATAAGAGGATGACATACCCACATTCCTTTTTGTTGTAAACGAGGAATGAGGTTCAAGATAAACACCACATGAAAAAGTTCCATCCTATTGCAAACCT